CTTTGTAATACAAAGCTCCATTTCTTTCCTCGAAACCCCTTGATTCCTCTCCCTCATCCCTAAGACCTCTAAGCTTATTCTGGGCGTATTCATCATTCTCTGTTTCTTCTACCAGTTCTCTTTGTCCCACCAATGCCGCCCCACACACCCAGCGGTCCTCTGGAATGACATGTCTCTCTTCGGGTGCTCCCTCCCTCCAAATATTCAGGTTTGCGTGAGAGAGCGTCCGCCCTAATATTCTCTGGGCCTGGCACGTAACAAATCTCAAAGTTAAATTTGGAGAATTCCTGAGCCCATCTCACTTGCCGTTGGTTGAGCACTCGTGCCGTCCTCCAATACTCTAGGTTCTTGTGGTCAGTGCACACTTGCACCTTATGTTGTGCGCCAATTAGCAGGTGCCTCCATCTCCGGAACGCCTCATGAATGGCTAGTAGTTCTCGGTCATACACCGTGTAGTTCCTCTCGGATTTGTTCAGCTTTCGCGAAAAAAGCACACGGTCTCCACTCTGACTCCTCCTTCCCTGGCTGGAGAAGCACCGCCCCAACCGCTCTGTCTGATGCATCAGTTTCCACTCTCATCGGTTTTTGTAAATCCACATGCAGGAGCTGTTGTTCCGAGGCGAAGGCCCTTTTAGTTCCTCAAATGCTTGCTCCGCCTCCTCCGTCCAAACGAACTTCTTCTTACTGCTGAGACAGTCCGTAATGGGCGCCGTCAGGTGGGCAAAGTTTGGGATGAACTTACGATAGAAGTTCCCAAACCCTAAAACCTCTGCACATCCTTCCTTGTTTTGGGTGTTTTCCATTCCAGTACCGCCTGGACCTTGCCGGGATCCATGGCCAACCCCTTGTCAGACAGGCGATACCCCAGGAATTCCACCTCCTTGGTATGAAACTGACACTTCTCCAGTTTCACCCACAGCTGGTTGGCTTGCAGCCTGCTCAACACTTCTCTGACGTCTCTCACATGCTGCTCCTCATTCTCAGAATACACCAACACGTCGTCTAAGAAGGCCACACAATTCTTGTAAAGCAACGGCCCCAGGACGTGGTTCATAAACGATTGAAATGTTGCGGAGCCTGCTTGTAGACCGAAGGGCATAACTAAGTATTCAAATGCCCCTAAAGGGGTGAACATGGTGGTTTTCCATTCATCCCCCTTCCTTATTCGTATCAGGTTGTACGCCCCTTAGATCCAGCGTGGTGAAAATCTTTCCCTTTCGCACCCTTGTCAAAATGTCGTCAATCCTGGGCATCGGGAAGGCCACTGGTTCTGACACTGCATTTAAGGCCCTGAAGTCACACACCAGTCTCGGCTTGTTCGTGTTTTTTTGTCCACAAAAACACTGGGCTGCCCCCACCGCCCTGGACTCTCTGATGAACCCTCTCTTCAGGTTCTTGTCAATGAACTCTCTTAGCTCCTGCATCTCTCTGTCTGACATGGCGTACAGCTTGCCCACAGGGAGCTGTGCCCCAGGGAGCAAATTGATTTGACAGTCAAAGGCTCTATGCGGTGGTAGTTGGTCAGCTCCCTTTCGCTGAAGACGTCGCGGAGATCTGCGTATTGTCGTGGTACCTTCACGTTCTCCTTCACTTCAGTCCCTGCTAGGGTGGCTTGGGCCCCTGCCAAAACCTTTCCTCTTTGCAATGTTCTAAGCAATGTGCTGACCCAAAAGAAACCACTCTCTGATGCCAGCCCACCAGCGGATCATGTAACGCTAGCCAGCTCATCCCCAATATAATGGGAGCTCCTCCCAAGGTGGCCACATTAAAAGCTATCAGTTCAGTGTGCCTTGCCACCTTCATTATCATTGGGACGGTCTGCAAGCTGACTTCTCCTCCCAACAGCTCCCTGCCATCGATCGTGGTTACCTGCAGGGGGCTGCTTAAAGGGAGCGTCTGTATCTGGTGTTCAGCTGCAAACTCTTTGCTCATGAAATTGCAGGAGCTGCCTGAGTCCAACAGCGCCTTTATCTTTAGCGGGTGTCCGCTTGGGAGCTCTAGTGTCACTTCTATCACTAGGGCGGGTTTAGGAGGTTCTGGAGTGGGCACTTTCACTGCTCTTTGGCCTGGCTGCTGTGCCCCGACAATGGCAGCCAGGCGTTGGCTTTTAGTTGCTCCGGTATTTTTTCCTCTCTTCCCTCCACAGCTCCCACCATCCCTTGCCATTCCTTCCTCTGGGGGCAGACTCTGGCAAAGTGCCCTGGCTGTTGGCAGAGATAGCATTTCCGGGCGCCTTTTCCATCCTTCTTTCCCACCTCACTGGGCTTTGAAACTGCGCGCGCGCGCTGTTCCGATTTCCCTCGGCTCTGCCGGCGGGACAGTTGGCTCTGGAATTTCTGGAATGCGGAACTCCTTCCAACGTTCCCCTTCCCTTCCCGCCTCTCCAATGCTCTCGCCTCCTGGCGCGCTCCTATGGCCAGCGCTGATTTGGTCAGCTGGTCCATAGACTCCGCCCTGGGCGCCCGGGAAAGTTCATCTTTCACAGCCGAAGAAAGCCCTTCTTCAAAGAGCATTTGAATGGGTTCCGCCGATAAGTCCCACCCCAATCTGTGTATCAGCATGGTGAACTCAGTCCAGTACTCACGTACAGATCGGCTCCCTGTTTGCAAGCCATTAACTGTCTGCGCACCACTCCCTTTTCAATATCGCTGGAAAACATCAGATCCATGGCGCGAAAGAACTTCATCGTGTCCTTTAAGACGTCACTATTAGCTGCCATCAGGGGTCTAACCCAGTCTCTCGCCCTTTTCAAGATGCCCAATCACAAAGCCACTCGTGATTCCTCATCAGGGAAATCATCAAACTGCAGATTGAGGGCATATTGCATTTCTGTCCGAAAGCTATGATAGTCTTTGGGCTCCCCCCCAAATTTTTGCACCAATCCTGGTACCTTTCTGGCGAGCTGGGTGGCTTTGTGCGGTTTGTCTGCATCTTGAGCCCTCCGCTCCTCCAGCCTCGCCGTCTGCAGCGCCAGCTGGACCTCCAACACTCGGTACCTTTCTTCCAGGCTTGGACCCGCTCCAGCCCCTGCTTCTCCGGTTCCTGCTGGGTTGCTCATTATGCCTTCTCCCGCACAAGCTGCGTTCAAAGACTGTCGGAATGCTGTGATGGGATTATGAGCTGCTTGTGCGTAAAATCGTATTCCCTCAGAGTTTGTTCAAGTCCACAAACCTCTGTCTGTGACTGAGCCCCTCTGACATGGCTCCTCTTAGTCACTAGAAGATTCCGACAGTGGTTGCTTCGTAATCGCTTCCAACATAAAAGCTCCTTAACGGAAACACGTCTTCTGGACTCTCTGCGTGACAGTTTCCGGCGAGGAGTGGGTGTCGCTACAGGAGGTCCGGTAACCTCACCACTGTTTTCGCTGGAAGTATATCTGAGCCATCACCACAGCTCCCTTTCCCACAGTTCAGCTTCTCTCCCCTGCTGGTTTCCTCTTCAGCTGCTAAGTCTCTTCCAACCTGTCTGAGCCCTTTCACCTCCCTCAGTTCAGCTTCTCTCCCCCTGCTGGTTTCCTCTTCAGCTGCTAAGTCTCTTCCAACCTGTCTGAGTCCTTTCACCTCCCTTCCTACCGATGGCAGTTCCCTGACATATATATATATTAATGACTACATCTCAGATTTTGAATACAATTGCTGTATTGTTTTATCTCACATGTCAAAGTGACTGGTACAGATTTCCTATACCTTATAGGTTTCGAGTAATGGGGGAGGTGAAAATTAGGGAAACATTATATACATTCATGATGCATCATAAAATGATTGTGCGACTCAGATTGGGTCTCCTAGACCCAAACTTTTAAAGCAATATGGACGAAAGTCACTTCTGGGGCCCCTCTAGGATTAGGGGACCTGAAGCTTAAACTTCATTAGTTTGACAGAAAATCTGTCCCTACTTACAACCAGTACAGGAAGTGGCATTTGCCTGGCGGCTTCCTCTTCCTTGAGTGTTGCCGTCATAGAACAGAGGAAGGAGGGGGAGCAAAGTTCATATACACTGGCTCCTTCTACTGCCGGTTTCCCTGCCTTCCACCCAGTCAGTCCCAATGGTTATGAGTCACCACTGGTCACATATCTCAACAACCTGCCAAACTGAGTACCCAAAGGAATCTGCTCAGTGTCCTTGAAAGAGGAAAATAAGCTATGATTAATACTGCCTAGAATCCTCAGTTTAGGATTCTGAATTAATCTATCCACCATCAAGATTGTTCACTAACTTCAAAGGCATTGTTGGAGAAGCAAAAGACCACAAACCAAGGCTACCAGAGGCATTACAGTACACCCTGCCCCAAAGTAACGTACATTATTTACATTGCCTGCCATTTCACTCAAGGACTAAGACTCTGGCAGTCACCGAGTCCTGCTTTAGACCTTGTTAGATATGTGTCCACCTTCTTGGAGTGACCTTGCCATGAGTGCAAACATTTAGGCAGCTCAAAGCAGGGCATTTTTTAAAAAAGGCTTTTTGAGGCAGGGAAACAACTTTTTTATATTAAAAAAATTCCCCCTAAAAATCAACAATAACATCTCCCTTTAATAACTAAATAAATATTACACACCTGGTTTTGGTGCAGTTCTGAATGTCTACACTTATAATATCTTCAAACTGAATGCTGAACATTGCTCTTTCTATGGAAAAAGGAACCACTGGCGAAGATGCATTGGCACTCAAGAGTAGAGTGCTATTTAGATAAACTACCTAGACGATCTCACAGATAAGAGAACCTTAATGAAGTGAATTGTTAACTCTACATGCTAGACTGATGAAGAATATATTTCCAGGAATGTTTGCACTGGATTGGTTCACAGGTACAATTTTTGGCTTTTTACAGCTCTTACAGAATGCAGATATCCTTTGTTCTGTAAGCCAATGCATGGAATTGTACCCTGCCCCTTGATTTTTATAGAGATAAGGTGAAACAGTGAAGCATTATTCCCTTGATTATAATTATACTGACATACCACAGACAGATGTTCACTGGGTTAAATTTGTGTACTTAGCCTGTCCCCAAAGCGCAATGATTTTAACTTTTAAAATTGTTCTTGTCACCTCACTTTCATATTCACATTCTTCAGCATTCCCACAAATATTTCAGAGATTCTTCGTGCATTGCGGAAATGTGTGTGCTTTCCATGGATTGATGGCTACACACTGGTGTTTCTTTCAGTTTGCAGTATTCATGATGATGAATACCCTGGAGAAATAGAGAGAGAGGAAGGCAGAATATTAGGTTGTGAGGAAAACTCTTTCCAGGTTAATAGGGCAATTTCAAGCAGAACTTCATATTACACATATCTTCTGATAGGTCTTGAAAGTATTGCCTCCTTAAATGATTGCTTAAGAATGCAATCCTGCACACCCGGTGTGGGCAACCTGAGGCTCTCCAGATGTTACTGGACTACAAATCCCATCATCCCTCACCATTGAAAATCACAAGCTTCTGTAGCAGCTAAAAATGTTAACTACTATTAGTATCAATTTTAAACCAACCTTCTAGTCTGAAGAAAAGAGAGACATCATTATTAGTCCCCTATCCAGTCACCTTTTTCATGGTGCTAGGAACACGTTCAGTGAAAAACAAAGAGGTGAAACTACACAGCTCATAGTAGTGGCATGAACGGATCATGTCCCTAAGTCCCTGCTGTCTTGCTCTCAATTCTTCTTTCCCCAGGGCCCTTAAAAACATTTTGAAAAGCTTCAGGTCTAGCCAAATGGTCATATCCAACAAAGTAATCCCACCTGTGCAAAGACTTCCATATGCACAACAGAATTTTCTCTCTCGGGTGGTAAGGTTGCCATGAAAATGCCTGCACTGTCACCATGGTTTGCAGCAATGACTAGAAAGGTGTTTTAATCATGGATTTATTTATTTTTAAGCTCTACAAGCATTGCCTAGTATGCCTGGCTCTGAAGAAGGATCCCCTTGGCACTTTCTCAGAATAGGGTGAGGTTGTGGGTGTTGGGATTCAAGCCTTTATCAGGAGAAACTGGCCACTCTCCAGGCACCCGGCTTGATCTCCTGTTGACCTCCCTGTCTGCATTCCCGGCAGGATCCAGGCTAGGTCGCGATAGGCGATCCTTCTCAGAGTGAGAAGAACACACCCCCTCTTTCCTGCTCCCCCGGGCAGGGGAGAGAGATAGACAGAAACGTATTTACATTCCTTTATTTCTGTCTTTGCAGTGTTACAAAAATCATGACTGCTCTCTTCAAACTCCTGCAGTCGAGAGACAAACTCCTCCTGTACTTCCTGTACAGCTCATATTACACTCTGAGCTAATTCCGGTGCTTCGCACTGTGAATTGACTGTCCCTCTGTTTCCCACGGAATAGTCCCAACATTCCCATTATGTTTTGCTTTCAAGCTACCAGCTCGCGGCCGCATTGCTTCTATATCGTAACAGTGGGAACAAGGCGAGGGAGAAGTTTTCACCACTGCTGCTTCTAAGTACTTACTAATGTGCTGACAATTTATGTTATTTTAATTATGAGAGTGGGCAGGGTGGGAGGGGAAGGAATGGAGACAGAAGCAGGAAGACAGCAGTGCTGCCACTATTGCAGAAAGATGGGGCAGCAGTGGGGAAAGGAGGAAAGAACAGCGGAGAGAAGAGATGGAGAGGCAATGGCAAAACTACTACCTGCCTCAGGCAGCATAATCCCTTGAACCAGGTCTGCCCAGGGCTATGAGCAGTTGCACCATCTTCCATTGTGCTCATGTAGGTTTGCCATTTCAAACAGTGAAAATCTGAGCAGATAAGTTGTTGGCCAAAACAATGCCATTTTGGAGATATTTTTTATGGAATATCAGCAAACCAGCATTGCTGACATGTGCTGCCATATGTCTTGCTTTTCCCAGACATTTTGCCAGTTTCTGCCCAGACACTGCTGCCGACTGCAATATTCCAGATATGTCCAGACGTATGGCAAACCTAGACCTTCCACATTATTCCTCTGCTCTTTCTCATGCAATGCAATTACTGTCCTGTTGATAAAATGTTTTATCTCTCAGTGATGGCTTCTCCCCCACCCCATGCAATGCAATGACTACCTCTGCCAATAAAATGCCATGTCAGTCACTGAAAGCTTCCGCCTTTTCGGCACCGCTGACCCACACTATGGTACTGAGGCAGCTTCTCAATGCAGGAAGTTACAAAGTTGTCCATTTGCCTTCTAATATTATGTTTTCATTTTTACACCTCTGCAGCTCAGAGCATCAAATGGATCTGATGACAAGTCTTCTTTTTTCTTTTGAAATGACTGTTGCCTAATACTTCGGATTTGGGGTTATCATGCTCTTAACAGTCATACTGTATCCTATCCTGCTGCAAACAAAGCTGCCATTTTGTAGTTTGGTTCAAATATAGCATGTTACCTGGTGAATCACTGCTGCCAACCTCCCTCACACAGTCTTCCAATTTTGTCCTATTAAACCTTTTGTTTCTTAGCTCAAAGTGACATGAATCATCCAAACTGAAAATTATATGTTTCACTCTTTTTTCTTTGAGGTGGTATAATATCCCTGTTCCCTTCCTGATAAGTTTTTTTAATTGCAGACTTTAAAGTAACTTATTATCATTTATATGCCATTGCAATTATTTGCCAAAAGGATGCACCAAAAGGCAAATGATATTTTCCCATTCCCCCCCAAAAAAGAATTGTAATTAAATATTTTGGCCAGCACCCAAATTATTATTCTGCTTGCAGTAGTTATTTATTTCTCTTTGAAGAAAGTGCTTTTTGCATAAGTAATTGTATAAGAACATGCTAGACCAGCCTTTCTCAACCTGTAGGTCCCCAGATGTTGTTGAACTACAACTCCAATCACCCCTACCTAGGAAGGCCAGAGCTCAGGGATGAAGGGATTTGTAGTCCAACAACATCTGGGGACCTACAGGTTGGGAACTGCTGTGCTAGACCAAGCCAGTGGGCCATCTAGGAAGTGGAGAAAGAAGTAGGGTGGAGACATGAAATCTAGTACTCAGGACTGGAGGATGGAAGTTCTCCTGTTGTGACTCTAGATGTTGGAGATGGGAAGGATGATCCACCAGCTCTCCCCTCCTGAAGTGGACAGTGCCTCATTGGAGAGGGAGGAGGGCTTTGACCAGCCAGTGGGAGAATCTGAGCACGTGGAAGTGGAGTCAGAGGGACAGAACACAGTGTTGTTGCCAAGATCTAGGTGGCAGCTCTGTAGGGTTGCCATATTTCAAAAAGTAAAAAACCAGGACACCCCGAAAGTTGTTGAGCTTCTTTAAAGGAAATCACCAAAATTGTTGGGCAGCCCTAATTAACCTGGGATTTAACCAGGATGGGTTGGGGCAGCCCCAGTTCATGTTCAACTGGAGTGATCTGTCAAAAGGTAGGGCTGTTTGGAGACAAGGAGATGGGGAGGGGAGGCACGTAGACAGTTCAAAACCCTAATTAAATCATGTGAAAGACCCTGAATTGGTTTGGGAACCCCAACCTGGGTTGGATTCTGGGTTAGACTGGAGCTGCACTAAAAGGCTGGATTGGGTATGGAATCAGAAGTGAGGGTTGTGCACGGCCCTAGAATTTATGTAATTCACCTGTTAGATTCCCTGTACATGTTTAAAGCATCAAATAAAGCTTTGCCAAGCCATCTGCATGTGCCCAAGTACTCCCTCTTCTCAGATTTTACATTACCACTACTGGCTCCACTTTCCTGGCTCCATTCACTATAGCACTGTTAACCATTAAAAAATCCGTAATGGTCTGCAACCAGAATACCTTAAGAACTACTTGCTCTCAAATGGACTTGCCTGAACCCTGAGATCAATTCCAGAGTCTTTTCTACAGTGAGCAGGCATAAAGAACAGGGTCCTTTCTGTGGTGGCACCTAGTTTGTTGAATACCTCCCTTAGCGTGAGTTGCAGCGTTCCTTCTTCACTTCTTTTGCAAATCATATTTTAGAAAACGACTTGATTCAGCCACACTTTTTACTCTCTGTGGTTGCTGTGGTTGCTAGTGATCTACTGGTGCTGCTATGTCTTTTTTGTTATGCTGGTTTAATTATTTTACATCTCATGGCCTGGTTGCTTAAATGGCATAGTTAACTAAATTTAGAAGGGACTTAATTCACCTTTCTAGGACTGAGCTACAAACAGGTGCCAGAGTGCATCCTGCTGAATTCTAGCACAAATTAAGCACTGATTCTGGTGGCATTTTCATACATGATATTAAGTAGGATTGCCATATTTCAAACAGTGACAGAAAAGTTGTCGAGCTTTTTGGACAAAATGAGGGGGGGAGATTATATTGTTGAGGTATTTTTATGGGAAGTTGGCAAAAACAGCACTGCCAACATGGGCTGCCATACGTCCAGATTTTCCCAAACATTTCACTGATTTCTGCCTGGATGCTACTGCTGACTATAGTATTCTGGACATATGGCAACCCTACACCTCCGTTGATAGGATCAAACACACTAGCCCTGACTGAGCATGTGTTTCCACACGTGGCAGTCTCAAAAGGCAAGATAGTCTCATCAGTGATCTTGCCCCACCTCATCTTTAAGAGCTTGGTAGGAGGGGATGCCAACTGTTGGGACATCTTCATTGCTTCCATCCAGTTCTGCATCTCTTGCCCTGCTCATGTACCTTGGACTCATGTTTTCTGGATCTTGTGGTTGCTGCTTAGCCTGAATAAAGGTCTCTTCCCTACTCTCAGGTAAGAGCCACTGTCATTGTGTTTTGGGATGGGAGCATGGCAATGGAATTGCAGTCTAAATGTCCCATAACACCTCACTGGTTCTCAAATGTATCTAAAGATAATAACATTCTCATGTGGAACATCTAGTGAGAGTGAGGTAGAAAGATGCTCTTTAACTCTTAGCCTTACTGTCAACAGAAGTAAGGTAATTATTTTTTTCATGTTGATTAAAATACTGGTTTTGGTCCTGCTGTGTGAAGATTTATGGGACTGTGTCTGTGGGAAACTGACATTTTGTAATGCCAGGGATTTCTTTGATATCCTCCCGGAACTCTTTTAATAGCTAAGCAGGCACAGCCACCTTATATCAACGCTAATTTGTAATAGGGTGATAAAATCAAAGGTGTGCTAATTGTGTTCTGCTCTGCTGCCTTTGACCTCCTGCTTTCTGTCACATTCTGCAAATGTAAAAATGCAAAGCTTTGTGAGCTCATCCTTTAGGGCAAGACTCCTTTCACTAGACGAGCATAGCTGTTTGTGGGAGGGAAGAAGACATTGGCCTTGAACGGTGTGCATAGGCTTTACCAATACAAGTACAGTTCCCCTCTCCATATGGGAAGGTCACAATAGGAGTCAGCATGCACAGAGACATTGGGGTCAGGGTTAGCATTCATGGCATTGATTCTCCCCACATGACTTCGGGCAAAATTTTTAAATAAGGTTAGAGAAAAAATACTAATCAGAGAGCTAGATAAGCTCATCTGGAGGCACACAATCACACTCAAGCTGGATACAGTTGACTGTGCACTTGGAGGAAAATCCAGAATTGCCACTGCATACTAGTGTGCATACAAAGGTCTTCAGGGCTGTATTCATATATGTCAAGGGAAAGACAGGGTCAACTCATATATAAGTTGTCCAGCTTCTTTCATCACATTTGTCAGGCTTGCATGGAATTGGTGTGTCATGTCAACCAGTGCCTGCAACATGTGTTGTATATATTGAGCCATATGACCTTGATGCTGGTGTTAACTTTTTGATCCACTTCTGTATTGAGAGGGGAAGGAATAGAACGTCTGGAGGCAGGGGAGGTGAGCAGATACACACAGTACAGCCTGGTTCAAATATTCCTCTGTATATAGTATAGGTGGACATGGGTAAGAAGGACAATCCCATGACTCACACCTGCCAGTATTGCATTGAGAATACTCTCGGTGAAATAGCTTCAGAAGGTCCACCGTCTGAGGGCTGTTTCATTTTCCTAGAAGCTGCTGCCACCTTGCTAAGTTAAAGCTACTTTGCAAAAATGTGCCGCCATACGATGCAGCCAAAAGGAATGTCAGGCCACTCTTTTGAATGGGTTGTAAATGAACAGACCTAGCAGTACATACAGTGCATTGACTTTATGTTTCAGTGAATATCAAGATTTATTGTCCCAAGAGCTATATATTGACTAAAGCTAACAAAAGTCAATATCTCCTATTTTACATGCTCTAGACTGCAATTAAGCAAAAACAACTGGAGGGGAAAGCTACACATCTTGCAGGGTTAAGTCTTTATTCTGCTGCCCATTAAACATGACCTTCTCTCATGACTCTATGAAAAAACATGCCGTGTTCCTTTTCTTAGATGAACTGTTCTTGCCTGGTTAAAAAACCTTAACTGATGTTCGCCATTGTTAACATGGCAGTGTTAATCAGCATGACCAAATTTGAATGTCTTATAGCAGGCATAGACAAACTCCGGCCCTCCAGATGTTTGGGACTACAATTCCCATCATCCCTAGCTAACAGGACCAGTGGTCAGGGATGATGGGAATTGTAGTCCCAAACATCTGGAGGGCCGGAGTTTGCCCATGCCTGTCTTATAGACTATGGCTACACACCAACACAGTGTTAGATGTGGTTAACATGCCTAACTCTGAGCTAGACGGTAGTCTTTTGTGCATCTTATGTCTGCAGTCTTGAAACATGGTATATTAATTAATTGCAATGTGGTATATAAGTTCTTTTATTATTATCAACAACAACAAAGCAGGGATGGTGAACTTGTGGCTCTCCAGATGTTGTTGGACTCTAACTCCCATTAGCCCCAACTAGCAAAGGATTTGTGGTCCAGCACCATCTGGAAGGCCATAAAATTGCCCATTCCTAGACTATAGTAAACACATACACAATCCATCCAAAGTACTCCAATCTGAACTAGTTTTAGTGGCATACATTGAAGTAAACTGGTTGCCTATCTTTCTGGCTTTCCTATGAGCTGAATTCCAGCTGTCAGTTTGTGGCAGCCATTCCACCAGGATGCAGAGCAGAGGGGAATAAGAGCAGCAGGACCATTGCCTCTGCTGAGACACCAGCTGCCTTCATCCTCCTAGGGATGGGTGAATCTGTCAGTATTGGTTGCTTCCTAGTAATTGGTTCGGTTCTCCAAATTTCCATATCAGTTTGCAATTTTTAAAAAAGTCCTCATGAGAATCCACCAGCATTTTTTGAATGAATCTGTCCTACTATATACATTTTTATATGCAACTTTCCCTGATATACACATTTTTGCAAAGCAATTTTCCGTATCATAAAGCATTTTTATCTGCTATTTTCCTACCTTACCCCAGTATATACATTTTTGTACACAATAGTTAGTTGGAGAACTGCATCACAAAATATGGAAAGTTGTGATTTTCAAAGGATGGCTGTGTTTTAGTTCCCATGTTGTTTCAGATGCTGCAAATTAAGTAGGTTCACCTTCAAATGAAAACTGAATCTCGTTTCTACCCCATCCTGAGTGTTCACTAAAGTGACACCTAACAGCAGTCATTCTATAAGGAAACTTGAATGGTTTCCAGTCCAGTTGCTATGAGAACTAGAGGGATAAAAAACAACTGTGCTTCCCCTCCTCCAGTCCACTCCAACTCATCTCATTTCCTTGCATCATGTCTTTTAGTTTGTTGAATCCAAAAACAGGTACTGTCTTACTACCGATTATCATAAGCTTTTTTTTTAGCTAAGGAAGGGATTAAAAATGCTTTAAAGAACTATAAATAAAAATGGTTGAGCCACAAAGAACATACTGTGAACCTGGAGCACTTTCATAAGCCAGTTTGCAGGGAAGGAGGTAATCAAAGGAACTTATTTCAGGTTATTTAATACATGCAAGGCCAACTCTGGCTTAATCTGAGCAACAGTTTAGCCCTAGGTCGTGTCCCTTACACAATAGTTCAGCTAAGGAAAATTTGAAGGCATAATAAACAAGTATATGCAGAGTAAGGAAGCACAAGGTAAATGTAAAGGGACCCCTGACCATTAGGTCCAGTCATGACCGACTCTGGGGTTGCGGCACTCATCTCGCTTTACTGGCCGAGGGAGCTGGTGTACAGCTTCCGGGTCATGTGGCCAGCATGACTAAGCCGCTTCTGGTGAATCAGAGCAGCGCACGGAAACATCATTTACCTTCCCGCCGGAGTGGTACCTATTTATCTACTTGCACTTTGACATGCTTTCGAACTGCTAGGTTGGCAGGAGCAGGGACCAAGCAATGGGAGCTAACCCCATTGCAGGGAATCGAATTGCCGACCTTCTGATCAGCAAACCCTAGGCTCTGTGGTTTAACCCACAGTGCCACCCGCGTGCAAGGAAGCACAACAAGCCATCAAATGCATCAGAGATTGGAATGGGAGGGTCTGCTCAGAACAGACTGCCCCAAATGGATTTGTATGCTGGACCAAATGGGCTATTAGCCTGATCCCGCAAACTCTTCTTCTGTCCTTAATATGTTTCAATCATCCCCGCAGGAGAATAATAACAGCAACAACTTTGACATAGTATCCCATATCCTCCAACATCCAGGTGATCCAAATTGGGACACATGTATGTATGTATGTATGTATGTATGTATGTCCTGAGCTCTCGCGGGGCCAGCTGACTTATGCCAGAGCACCGAACCAAAAACTGGGACATTCTAGGATCCAATCAGAAGCCGGGATGGGTGTCCTGCTTAAATCGGGATGGTTGAGCAGTATGGTATCCTAGCACCAGAGAAAAGAGACAGTGGTTCTACATCTGCCCTTCCTCCATAAGAAAGATATTCAAACTACCAGCCACATTCTCACTTTTCAACACCAAACTCACAGTTAACAGGATGCAACAAGAGTTTTTATGTAGCCCTCTCAGTGATGTACTAAGTTACTACAAGCAAGAAGCTTTTGATGTGAAAAAGCATTTAAAAATACCCCCTACAGTCTTAAGTGGTACAGTTAAGAGAGTTCCACTACCTTGTTATACATAATATTGATTTGGTTTACAGATGAAGCTGAATGGGGTGTAGAATGGTCTGTACCTCTTCAGACCACACAAGTTTTTGATTTCACAGGGGGGGGGGAAACACCCCTACAAAAAGAAAAGGAGCACAAACAGCTAGGTTGAAATATTTCCATCTTCTGCTTCCCTCCCCTCAGGTGCTTGAGTGTATGTGTTTAACATGACAGAGAACTTTCAAAAATAGTATTCCTCACCTGAAATGGCACAGCCTATTCTATAGTAGACCCAAATCTCAGAAGCTTCTAATTTTAAGAATTAAGTAGAACTTGCACCTGAGTGAGTGACAGGTCCCCCTTTTAAATTCCAAAGTCTACAAGAAAAGTCCTCTTTGCTCACATTTGACCTCTGTTAGTCACAGTAATAGATACCTGAGGCCAATAAAGTACGCTCTGAGCATGACTAAAATTCCCTGAGCAGCTGGCCTGGAGAAGCTTATTCCTTGTTCTTTTAAAATGTCTCCTTATTACTGGACTGGACTCCTGCCTTTTGTGGGAAAAATTAAGCCACCTCTTTGCTATTATGGTAATGGATGGCAGGGAACAGCCCTCTGAAGATTGTAACACAGTCTGCAATTTTCACGTGTTCTGCCTCCCTCTCCTTCCCTTTTAATAGCTGCAGGAAAGTCAACAGATTTTGAAGTAGCAGACGCACAGCAGAGCCCTAAGCACTGAGCAAAATAAACATCAGGTGAAAGACAAAAGGCTGGAAGAATTGATTATGCCACTTGGCTGCTCTCCTGAGAAAGATAAAAAGAGGCCAGGACATGCTTCGCTACTCCTTGCATGTAGAAGTCAGGCTCAGGAAACAATACCCTGACATCTCTGCCATGCAGATAACTCCAACAAGCACAGTGAGTGATTTAACTATTCTCTTGTTGTTGCTGCATTTTCCCCTCTTTTGACTGACAGCTGCAGAGTATATTACAAGGGTCTCATCTTTGTGGACTGGTTTCTTGGTGGTGGAAATAATCAGATGAAAAATTTAGGTGGGTTTTTTTCTTTTAAAAAAATTACTTAAAAAACAAAAGAAGCTTACCCACCAGCAGTAAGCAACACACATTTAAAGCACATGACTCCCCCTAAATAATCTGGGAACTGTAGTTCATTAAGGTTACTGGGAAATGTAGCTCTGTGAGGGCAAACTACAGTTCCCAAGATTCTTGAGGGAAGTCATGTGCTCTAAATGTGCTTTAAATGTATGGTGTGTGTGGTCAAGCTAAGAATAAACAGAAGGGTCCTGATGTTGGATTTGTAAGGGCAGATCTCTACAAGTAGTAAACGTGTCACAGAAGGCTTGAGTTCGAGAAAGAATACTAGAGGAGAGGTAAGTTGGGTTACATCCTTGTGCAGTTGGGTTGAATAAGATGACGTTTGCCAAGTTTGCTGCACAAATGACGCAGACATAAACTGTGAAATTATTTTAAAATGATAATACCAACTACCAGCTTTTTTTGGGTTTATAATATACACTTTGCTTGGTATTCCCAAGAATAACCTTCTTAACTATAACACTTTCCTTCTGACTATCACTGTCCATAACACTCCTAAACATTTTTTATAATAACACTGTATCATTTGTACATTGAAGTTTATGTCCAGGATGCGGAAGCTTTCTACACCAAGGGCCACTTTCCTTATGTCTTCTGGGGGCCACATGCCACTGGTAGGCAGGAACAGATGCACAGGAGAGCAGTGCATTGAATGTGACTCTTACTTTTGTATAGTATCCTGCATTCCAACCATGCAGACACTGAGTGTTCACTTCAAGGAACAAGGGACAATGTTGCTACTCCCCCATCCTTCTTCATATGCATGCTTCTTTCCCCCATGAAAGAACCAAATGCCAGCATACTACCCCAAATTTCGTCACTTTACTCCTGCGATTTTCCAGGATAAGGGGGTTGAAACCCATTTTTTCCCTGGAATGAAATAACATGGAAACAATTGCTAAATAAGCTCTTACATTCCATTCGTTTTCCATAACTGGCCTTTACGTCGTGTGAAACCTCAGATGTAACACAGTAATTAAGAGTTAAGGAAACCTTGGGGAAATGGAAGAAACTGCCATGGGAATGCAGCCTCAGATGATCTTTGAAGCCCCCTCATAGCTTTATAATTGTAAATTTTGTTCTGCCGCTGTATATCAGACAAAAGATTCGCAAAGTAGCTTGGTTTCCAACGAGCCGCCAAAATTAAGGCTATTTCCATAGTTATCTCCTGCAGCCAGATTTCTGAAACAGATCAACATGCTGAGTAAATGAAAGAAGAGCTTTGGAAACCCAGCCCATAGCAGGTACTGCGTTTAATGAACAGTTGCTTTGTGCTTGTCTTATTTCATCCTGCTGTTATTCCTTGAGCTCTGATACAGTCACTGCAAGGATCCTCTAATCCAGCTCAAATGCCATGTGGCAGCACATAGCAAGGTCTTCCAGTAGAGGAATGGCTGGCATATAAGATGCAGGCAAGGAGGGCTAAAGGACTTTAAATGGCATGCCTCCCTTTCATTCCTTAACTTCTTCTGCATCTCTGCTTGGTTGTTCCACATCTCCCTTCCTTTTGGAACAGCTGGTTCTATACTTGCTCTGTATACAAAGGGTTTTCATATCTCTCCACAACACAATTATTTTATGCGATGTCAGTCTACATATTCTGCTGTGAGCCATCTTGGCCCTGATGTCTAAGCCAGCTGTAACCAATAGAGTGCCCTCCATACGTTGCTGGAACTACAACTCATGCTAGCCCTGCTGGCTTGGGCCTGTTGGGAGTTGCAATTCAAAACATCTGGAGAATGGTCTACACCAGGCTTACTTGACATGGCACCTCCTATCAGCCCTAGGAAATAGGTGCATAGGAAGCTGCCTTACACAGAGTCAGACCTTTCATCAATCTAGGTCCGTACTGTCTACAGCAGCTCTTTAGGGTTTCAGACAGGGTAGTCTGATGCCTTGGAGATGCCAAGGTTGAACTTGGAACCCTCTGCATGAAAGATGCATTCTCTAATCAATGAGCTACATCTCCTCCCAGCACAACCAATAATGGGAGTTGCAGTGCAGCATAATCTGGAGTGCCCCACATTGTCTGTCTCAGTTATAAACCATAGAATAAATGTGTAGGGGATATGCTATTATTGCAGAAGGTTATGCCCTGACATACTGTATGTGTGTTCATTGAAATGAATGTGGATCCATCAGGGATAGATGCAATCCTCACCCAGCATATTCATTCAAACTGGTTGGAATGCTTGAGAAGAAAGTTAGTGAGAAAGCACCTATGAGCCCCAGAGACTTGGGATTATGTGATGGGGAAGCATTTGAATATTGTTCTCGGGTACTCGGTGTCCAATCCTCTGGGAGCCCCTCGAATCAACATCTGTGCTGCAACTCTCGTGTGCTAACTTCCTATTTGACCAAAAGTACATGGTGCAAACCGATTTGTGTGACAAGCCCTCCAGTGGTTGTCAAACTTCAGAACATAAGAAGTTGCCTTATACTGAGTCAGACCATTGGTCCATCTAGCTCAGTACAGTCTGCATTGACTGGCATCAGCTGCCCAAGGTTTCAGAGAAACCAGGGGTCTCACCCAGCCTTGTCTAGAAATACCGGGGATTGAACCTGAAACTGTCTGTGTGCAAAGCAGATGACTCTACCACTGAGTTACAGACAGCCCATCCTTCTAAACTTCAACTCCTGTTGACCATTTTGAGGCTGTAGGGCACCTCATTGGCCACCTTCACTCTGTATGGTGACCCTTAGAATCAGCCTCCCCTGCCACCTCGCTCCAAAAAAGAAAATATATTGAAAGTGCAGCTGCACTGCATCCATTTAAAACTTGACCATAAACTCTTTGTTGGTGAGCACAACGAAGTCCGCCTGCCCTCTTCTAGAGCTGTTACACCTTCGTATGTTCTGATATTTTTCCAGGGGGAAGGAGTTGAAATCCTTTCTATGTGAACTTTTGGAACCATTTCCTCCAAAGAGAAACAATAAGATTTCTACACTCATATTGTAGCCTCAACAGATACAGTCTAAACTTCCAGACAATTCAACAGCAGCAAAACATAGAAATGGACTGTGGACCACAGACTGAATGGTGGCTAAGCCTTATTAACAGCCCAATCACTTACTCTGCTGTGTGCCCCACAATGGCCATTGGAAGCTCATTTTCCGCTGTGAAAGATGCAGTTAGATCAAATTGTAGCTTTCTTTCTCTGGTAAAAATAGCTAAGTAATGTTTCAAGTCCTGGTCACTTTGTATAAAGGTTTCTCCCCCCCCCCCCGAATCTATGCCTGTTATAAAACCAGTAAAAGGCCCCTTTGAATATATTCTCTGAAAGATTAAGTGTGATATAGCAGGAACATATTGAGAGGTGGTTCAGAGAAGCTGGAGGGAGGCAAAAAAGAATGAAAATTGGTTTGGCCCTTATTGCAAGAATAATGGAGATGCGTCAGTTCATTGCTTGTGACCAAGAGAGTTTTAATGGTGCAGGCTGTAAGGAAGCTCGAAAGTCAAGTTTTTCCCCAAAGCACAGAGCAGTCTTCACGGACACACACACAAAGTGACAGTGGCACAAAATCCATTTTAACAACAGCATGCAGATAGATAGTACTTACTTTGGGATAGCTCAGTTGGTAGAGCATGAGAGCCTTAATCTCAGCCTCATGGATTTGAGCCCCACCTTGGATGAAAGATTACATTACAGGGGTTGAACTAGATCAGGGTAAGGGACACGGGTGGTGCATTGGTCTAAACCACTGAGCCTCTTGGGCTTGCTGATCAGAAGGTTTGCAGTTCAAATCCCTGTGACAGGGTGAGCTCCCATTGCTCTGTCCCAGTTTCTGCCATCGTAGCAGTTTGAAAGCACACAGCACAAGTAGATAAATAGGTACTGCTGTAGCGGGAAGGTAAATGGCATTTCTGTGTTCTCTGGCTTCCGTCACGGTGTCCTGTTGTGCCAGAAGCAGTTTAGTCATGCTGGCCACATGACCCTGAAAGCTATCTGTGGACAAATGGTGGCTCAAAAGCGAGATGAGTGCCACACCCCATAGTCCAGGGGTCCTTTAACTTTACCTTTTTAGATCAGGGTTTCCCAAACTTGCGTCTTCAGCTTTTTTAGACTACAGTTCTCATCATTACTAGCTAGCAGGAGCATTGGTCAGGGATGATGGGAACTGTGGTCCAAATACAGCTGGAGACCCAAGTTTGGGAAACCCTGGAATAGATGATCCTTGTGGTCCCTTCTGACTCTACAATTGTATCATTCTCTGATATGGGGAATTTGAGGCATAAAATGTGGCTTTATGGAAGCACATCATAGAGAGGGATGGGGAGTTGATATTATTACTCTGAGGCACAGAATTTTGTTACCTGTGAAAACAACCTAGTTCAGGGATCTCTCCAACAGTAATACTGCTGTAAATTTAATCCCAGCATGCACAATTTTCACTGATAGCATTTACTGTATCCTGTTTCTCAAAATACATTTTATTGCAAAGATAGGTAAATAACTCACCTGTTTTATAACTGCTCAGGGGGCATTCCAGTATAGGTGCCCAGGTAAGGGTCTCGCTCACCTTTCTTCTGTGATATGGTGCTTGGATCTTCAATTGTGAGAAGCAGAAACTTGGCTACTATTCCCCTTTCCAATATTTGAAAGAAACCGTTTTTTTGTGTAACTTTGAAATTCTGTGTGTGTGTAAAATCTGTAACAGCTTTAGGCTTTGCCAACATGAATTATTGTGGGAGCAACATGAGCGGCGTATTGTGAAACCAGCACCTGTTTCAGCAACTTGATTGACTGTTGGAAAGATATATGGCAAACGGAATAAAAACGGCTAGCTTAGGTGAATTAGAATTTTGCCTCCTCCGGTGTTCTATATGAATCTCTTAATGTTCCTGGGATTCAATTCATTTTAGGAAAGAAAGAAAGAAAGACAGACCCAACATTCAATGGGCCTGTATTTTCTGCTGAAAGTATTGTCTGGAAGAAGAGCATGAAAAAAATGTGAATTTCTCATTTTTTCCACTCTTCAGTATTCCACATTGCCACATCAGTTTGAAGTTCTGGAGTTTCTTTCAAAATAAAAGCTGCATGAAAATTCACCTGCATTTTAGTGTTAATTTTGCCTAATATACACATTTATGCAGAACAATTTCTCCTAATATAGTGCATTTTTGTATGCTATTTTCATGAATATATGCATTTTATGCACACTTTACCCCAGTATGTGGGTTTTTTCCCTACCAGTTACAATTGCAAAATTCAGATAACTTTGGATTTCAGAGGTTGGCTGTGTTTAAGTTCCTACGTTGCTTTGCAAAGCGTGAATTAGGTGAGTTCACCATTAAATGAGAACTGAATCCAATTCCGCCCCCATGTCTAGTGGGGCCAGAGCAAAATATGAGTGGAGCTGGAGTCAGAACCAAAACCAAAAGTAGGTGGGGCCTCCTGATTTTCTGTCTTTCGACCAACATTGTTTCTGTTTCTGTCACCCCGCATCTCTCCTGGCCACACTCCCTTCCCTTCCCCTCCCCTTGACAACCACATAAAATTAGCCCAAGGGTTGTATGGTGTTCTGGGGCCACACCCTCCTCATGTGACTTCTAGCATGGCTGAAATGGATCCTTGAATTCTGATAAAGAGCCAGTGTGGTGTAGTGACTAAGAGCGGTAGATTCGTAATCTGGGGAACCAGGTTCGCGTCTCCGCTCCTCCACATGCAGCTGCTGGGTGACCTTGGGCTAGTCACACTTCTCTGAAGTCTCTCAGCCCCACTCACCTCACAGAGTGTTTGTTGTGGGGGAGGAAGGGAAAGGAGAATGTTAGCCACTTTGAGACTCCTTCGGGTAGTGATAAAGCGGGATATCAAATCCAAACTCTTCTTCTTCTTCTAAATGTGTCTTGGTTTCCTGGATGGAGGTTAGAGAAGTGAGGGGGAGAGAGACAGTAGAAACCTCTGGCTTTTGCATAGCTGGGATGTAGCCAACTGTACAAAGATCAGAGTCACATCTGTTGCTCTGTCCACTTTTCCCTCTGGCCCCTCTCGACATTGACATGCACCCCTTCCAAAGGTTGCTTATGAGGGAATTGGCCTCAGGCTGGAAAATGAAGTATGATGGGAAACTTTATTTACCTGTAGCTGTAAGCACCAGGCAGTCACTGCAAGCTTTTCCTGCTCAAACGACGTGCAACATAAATTCTTGTGACACAGTTCATATTGCCTATATAGGTGCTTTAAATTATGCTACATGATCCTCAGAGAGGATGGCGATGTACACATTTTCACATATAATGGTTGTTGTCACCTCTCAGCCTGAAAATCCACCCCATTATATGTTTTAAATTCTTTTTTTTTCTGGAAAACATCATTACAATTCTGTGATGCATGAGTGCATCCTTTGCCACAGACAGATCTGTATATAAGAGGTGGAGAAATTTGTACATGTTGAAATGTAAAATCAAATAACCTTGCATTTTTAGGTCTTTAAGCTTTGAAGCAGATGCTTTCTTGCTATGCTATCTCTCAGCATCACCTGACATCTCAAGGTCATGTGTATGCAGCTCTGACTTCTTTGAATAATGAGTCAAACTATTGACATTTTGCTGTATTAGTTACAGTTTACAAGGTTTGGCCACTGACTTCTGAGTAAATATTGACATGGGCAGTTTCTTATTTGGGAAAGAAAACCTGGCACCTTACTATTTCTAAATTCTTGCAAACCAAGGGGTATGCATTTAGTGTACCGTGCATTAACCATCTTCTGTGGCAATACTCATTGGATCATTGCTTTCTTGCAGGAGGAAAATAAATCTACTTGGGAAATTGTAGCAAAGGGTGCTTCCAGCCTGTCGCTATTTTCAGGGAGGATTCAGTCACATACTGGCAAATTCAGGTTGCCTAATTATCACAAGGACCAAGGAAAGTGATGGAGAAATGCACTGGAATGTGTGAGGTGACACTTGCTTTGATGCAACATCATCTAATCTCCCCATAAACCAATGAGAATGAATGCTCGTTAAATAGCCAATGCTATCTAATCTCCCCCCAAATGAATCAAGATAAATACTAAATACACATGTCATCTGAAAGCACCCATTGACTCCTGGATGTGGCATTCTTTATTCTCATTTGAAAGGGGAATCCATTTCACCTTAGAATGAGTGGGTAGAAAGTGAAAGTGAGCTTCATGGTAGTGACCAGAAGTGACCATGGTAGTGACCATGGTAATTTACATCCCTCCTTCCAGAATGAGCACTTTGTGTGACACTAGCAATACAGAGAGTGGGCTCTTTTTTTTTCTTTAGAAGAAAGAAAATGGCAGCCCCTTACTGGCTGCCAATGAGAGAGTTGCTCTTCTGCTGCCACGCTGAAACCCAGGTAGCAGCGGTGAAGAAAATCAAAAGGAGGAGAATGATTTCACATCCCATTTTGTTCCCAAGCCCCACTCAATTCAGGCTGCAAGTTCATCTCAGAACTTCATCTCAAGGCTAGTTGCAATGGCAGAGTTTGCTTGTTGGGGAACAGTGTTGAATAATTGGGGCTCTCTTGCTTAGGGAGGGTCCTGAAACCACTGTGGCAAGATAAATCATTGCTTATGCCATTGTAATCCATGACAGTAGCCACAACAGGGCTTCTTTTTCATCCTCACACTTTATCTTACATTGACATCTGAAATTGCTTGAAGCAGAAATTGAATGGAAAAAGAGTTGTGGAGTTTCTCCCTTTATTCTCCACCCCTTTGTTTATTTTTGTATATTTTCTGAGGGCAGAGTAAGCTTCATTTTCAAAGCAACTGGAGGGGACTGTGTTCAGCAGATAGGCATATAAAAAGTAACCTGGCCACTTTCTGTATCTTACACTGAAGTTAGCATAGTCATTACACTTCTGATACTTTGATGCTTTACAAGTAGAGTATGTTCTTGTGTGAAAATAATAGTTCTTTCCTTTCCTTTCATCACTTTTCTCAGAACTCTGAGCTCTGGTGTGAAATGTGTACTGTTTGTCAAAAAGCTGTTTTCTTTGGACATTACATAGCAGGCAGTTTCGTTTCTTCTATTGTACACAGAATGCAAGATCCTTGTTTCACTTATGATAGAGGCTGACTTCAGGGAAATCTAGTAGTGTCAATTGGTATGACTTGCCTGAATAAAATCAAAGGTTGGAGGAAGGAGAAGTCTAGTGGTGACTTGGGAGAGGACCCCACCCCCTTATTGCAGGACCTCCTAGTCTCTAACCCACCTCCTGAAAGCAAAGTCCCCATACTAGTCAAGGAGATGACTGGGCAATCAGCCAGAAGTGGAAGGAGAGTGGGAGGCTTAGACTTTGGCATCACCAAAGATGCATGAATATTTACACCAGGATGAATAGACTTGACCTACCCTCTGCAGGAACACAAGAGCAGTCTTCTCACTTGGGACAAGAACCTCATAAATGCCTGGTCCTACCCTGCTCTTTTAAAGTAAAGCAGAAAGGCTGTGGGGTTGATAATATCTTAGTTATTGCCTACCCATGTATCCTTAGGGCTCTGCTTGTAGACTTTGACTTGTGTAACCTGTACTTTGAACTGATGCTAAGATGATCTGCTGATTCATTGAATAAAGCTTTCAGGTTCCCTTGAGCCAAGATTCCAAGTACTATGTCACAGGTTGAGAGACAAGACATCCAGTTCAGTGCTGTTCCCACAGAAAGAGTGACCCCCCCTCTCTCTACTACCCCTTTTTAAGTTCATTTGCATGCAGACCACTGGTGGAAGTGTGAGTTGTTCATGATGTAACTGGCCAGTTCTTATCTTTCATTGACAAGTTGTTTGTCCACCTCCCTCCATGCCTCCATTCCCCCCCCCCCAAGAGTCCTTGTTTGCCACTTGGTAGCTCAATCCATGTAGTTCCACCCTCCCCCTGCCTTCTCTGGTATGATCCTGATCTATGAAAATGTATTTAAGCCCATACCTTCTTGAGCATTGCTAATCCAGAAGTGAGGCAAAATCATGGTAAATCTCAGTCACTCAACCTTATGCATTCATTGCTTCTGCCTTGGTTTGGTTTTTCAGTGGCATCCCAATGTGGCATTCACTGTCTGCCTTCGCTGTTTAGAATTCAGGCCAGCTCATCTAGGAGATCCGCCCATATGGTTTTGTGGTAGAATGTGAGCCAAGGCGCTGTTTACACCAGAATGCACACAACTCTATTAAGCTGCATTCATTTGTAGTGTCAGCAAGCAAGCATCTGTCAGCTGAAGTATAAGTTCCAGTCCTCTTCAATTGACATCAGTCTTTTGTAGACTCTGGCTCTCCATCCCTTATGCAGTGAGCAAGTAATTATGCTCGCACAGGGACCCATTTATGCAGGAGCTGTATACATCTGCTTGTGTGTGTGTATTTAACTGGAAACTGGTAGGGAACTTCAGCCCAGGGGCCTCAATCCTCAATATCTGGTCCTTGCATGTCCCCAGGCCATGCCTCCTCTCCCCAGATTATTTCCTAGGCTGCTCCTTTTGCCTGGCTGGAAGGTGTTCTTGAACTGGGATAATGCCTCTTTTTTTCTCTGGATGGAGGGGTCTCTGTATGTAGAAATGTAAGACATTTGCATGGTTGAATGTAGCTTATTGTACAAAGATAGCACCTAACCAGACCTCAGATAATAGGGATTTCCAACTTAAAACTTGGTTTTCTTCCAGAGCAAGTATTGGAGTCCTTGTGTGGCATGCTGTCTTCTCAACCTATCCTCCATCAAAAGCATTAACTTGAGGATCCAATCAATGCTAGGGTGTACCATGTCAAGTCCTTGCCAATGCAC